AAGCCTTTTAATGAAGAAGGTGTTGAAGAGGCTATTGATAGCTGCCAGCCAAGGAAACGCCTTGAGCCGGAGAGTGCCGAAGCAAAAGTGGCTCATTCAGATGTAGCAGAACATGACTTATCATGTGGACAGCGTGTTGTGTCTTTTGAATGTTGTGGAGCAATGCTCTAGCTTTGTTAGCGTACTCAGGAAGGTGCCACATAAAGTGCAAGGAAGGAAAAACCACAAGTTTGCATGTGGCAAAAGGCAACTAATAAAAATGTTAGGTAAGCAAAATGACTACACCACTGACCTTCCCCCTGTGTGTAGCGGCGCTCAATATACGTGGCTTAAGAAATATAAGGCGTCAGCGGAAGGTAAACCACGGGCTTAACCAACAAGACGTTGATGTTGTAGCGGTGCAAGAAACAAAGGTTTCGTCAGTTCAAGATGTAAGCTTTGCGCTGGAAGCTTTTCTAGATTACGATCTGTACAGTAGCCACGTACGTGGTGTTTTCCGCTCAATGCTTCTTATGAGTTAGAAAACAGCAGTGTCACTCCTTGGCGTCGCTGTATATTGATATGGAAGGTCGTCCTATTTGCTGTGACATCACATTTAATTCAAAAAATGGAGGTTTGTTAGTGTTTTATTTCCCTCAAAAGTGAATGAAATGAATGCTTTCATCCTGTTCTTAGACTCGTTGCTAAACACTGATAGACATTTGATAGTGTTATGGGATTTTGCTTGTGTTTGTGACCCTAGCGATCCCTCATATTTATTAAATCATTACAATGCGAGTGCCACTTTTCGCAACAAATAACGAATGACCATAATCTGATAGATGTGGGAGAGCATGTGCCTGCCTCACTGAGGTTCACGCACTTTCAGGACGTTTCTCATGCTCGGCTCGATCGTGTCTATGTCTCTATAAACCTATGGTCGCACAACCACAGCTATAGAGCCTATATTTTTCACAGATCATTTTAGTGGTAGTTTCATGGGGTCGTGGAAAATTTAGCAAGATTCTACTAAATTGGGAAGTATGGAAGCTAAACGTAGAGCTCCTGCAAGAGGAATGTTTTGTTGAAATAGTCAAAGAATTGCTCCATGTGGTAACCAAATATCGACAGCTGCGAAATTCTGCTCAATGCGAATTTATAAAAGAAAAAATTAGGAATGAAGCAATTAGCGTCTCTTGTCAGCTAGCACAAAAGAACAAAGATGAAAAACATTATCTTTACGAGTTGCTTAATAGATTTCATGTTTTGAAAACCAAGAGCCGGGCAGTACGGGGATGAAATGAATATAGTTCGAGCGCAAAGACTGAAATATTCGACTGAAGCATACGGAGGAAAAATACATCGTTCTCGTGTTATTCGTTTCACTCAAGATGAACCAACAAAAGGAGTTCGTGGGTTGAAAAGCGATACTCACTCTCCAAGCAGATATTACAAATTGAGTCGAATGGCTCCATATACACTGACACAGAGCAAATAAAACCTCTTTTGAAGATCGTTACAAAAGCCTCTTCACCACGGCTGAGCTTACAGATGGCTACGAATAAAAAGCTGAACGAACCATTGCTTTAATTTTGTGTTTACAGGAAGATGATCGCCTCATCATTGATGAACAGGTAACTAAGGAGGAAATTATGATTGCAATCAGAAATTTGCATAGCAAACGAACTCCAGCCGCAGATGACCATAGTGCAGAGATTTACATGAAGATTCAAGAACTTCTCGTTACTTTTCTTTAGGCAATTTTTAAAGAAGCCTATGAACTTGGAAAACTTTAGTGAAGATTTTAAAAATTAACTGAATATATGCCTATATCTTTATGTAAGGTTCATTATATACCTGCGTACATCTCACGAACACGTTGCAAACAGTGATTACTAAATATGTAGGCACCCATCAAACATGTGCAATAAGAGGCCGTTCTATACAGACGAATATCCATGTAGCGCGATCAATCCTTGAGTGCATTGACGATAGCATGAAGCAGGTTAGTCTTGTTCAGATTGACCTTTAAAAAGCTTTTGATAAAGAACGACATGGTTTTATTTGTTTCGAAAACTCTGACATCTCCAGTTTGGGGACATATTATACGATGGCATGTTACTATGTTGTAAAAACTGGACAACAAGATTAATTGTGAATCACGCGCATTGACATTTGATGGAGCTAAATTCATCAGTGCGTGAAGTTGTCCGCTTTCACTTTTACTTGTTGCAGTATACTTGGAACCACTTTGTCTAAGTGCATTACCTGATTCTGGTACCAGAGGATATAGATATGAAGCCGAAGAAATAAAAGTACTATTCTACGCAGATGGCGTTTCCTTCTTCTGCGGGGATAATCCAAGTGATCAGGAAGCGGGAAACACCACCATGCATTTCTTTGAAATTTCTTTGAAAGTATGTGTGTCACCTGTTTATTCGGTCTGTTATCCAGAACCGTCTTGCTTACCGCCACCCTTTTCTTTTTGTCTTGACAAGATTTGCCAAAAACTTGCAATTGTGGGGTTTCTTGAAAGAAATTGTTGAGGTTGTGCAGTTTGTGAAAACCAGATTCACTTTAAAATATCCCTACAGTGTAGACATAAGGACGCTCATTGCTGCACACATCAGCATTCTTTTGCCTGAACCTGTTTACCAACGGCAATATGTATCTCAACCTTGTTATGTTGTGTTCTACCATGTGCACAAATTGTGTATACCGCCATCACCGAAAACGTGTTCCTTTACGCTACACACCTTAACATTATCAGTAAAGGCGTGTCTTCACGGCACAGGTATATACGGGCCCTGATCTCTAAATATCATAGTGTGCAGCAAGCCTGAAAGAATCCAACAATGGTTTATTGATTACCGTGATGCGTGTAATTTTCGGGACATCCTTCAGAGAATCATCGAAAAAGAATTTTCTATTACAGCTCTTGGTGTTAGGTTCTTACGGGTCCAAAACACCATTACCAATAATGCGCCATACGCTTTAACAATGTTATTTGGCTTTTCCTAATTATGAAGGAGCCGCAAGATTTACTGACATGCTGAACCCAGCATGTTCGACAAAGGCTGTTTTTCGAGAAGCAGCAGTCAATGTGCGTAGTGTTGCAGAAAATTTCGATCCTGTTCCGGAGTCTATTGGGCTTCTGGACATGTGTGTTTGTTTACCGGACTTTTTAAGGTTCCTTGGACTGTGTGAACTTCTATGTTCCGCATGAGTGCGTGCGAGCTTAATATTGAACTGCCTAATTGTGTACATAAATCTGACAACCTTTGAGTGCATAAGGTCTATGTAGTAAAGTAAAGAAACACCGGCGTGGCTCAGTAGTAGTATAATGGGCTGGCACGCAGTAGACCCGGGTTCGAGCCCCACTGTGTCCTTCTTACTAAATTGTTTATTTTGAAGTTTGCACCATGTGGTTACGGACACCGGTGGCGGACAACAACAGCGCTCCTCGGTACCTGAGTTGTGATCTCATAACAGCTTTTGCTGTAAAAGTTTCACCGTCCTCTGCAGAAAAATAGATTTCACGTGAAAAACTCCAACTCACTGAAAGCAATATAATTCCGCTGTTCGTCTAGTCAGTGTTGGCCGGGCCTGCCGACTTGCATTACTGTTTGCCGCGTCTTTAGCGTTGGAAGGGCACCTTCGTAAACTTTATTGCATAAGTATCTTTCAAGGCTAATAGCATTTCAAAACTTTATTGTTGAGAATTAAGGGACATGATCACTATTTGATCAAAAAGCCTGACAAGATGGTGCACTGAGTAATTTTTTTTCTGCTTTGGTTTCTCTACGACCCACCACAATCGTAGTGTATGGGAGTTTTCGCATACAAGAGGCAGAAAATTAAACCTATGGCATTGTGCTCAAGGCACCGACCACTACCCTGTTCTTATCTTCCCTCCTCCCAAATGCGTATTTGAAGTCCGCAAACGAAAGCCATGAACATGCTTTGCTTAACAATTCCCCTCCTCCACCCCCCTATGCTCTAACTGTCCATGCCCGTACTTGAGTCTATTCACCTGACATCGCGATACATTATTTTCTAGAAGTGTTCACAGTTTCCGCTACTCTGGCGAAAATATAGTCTCACAAAGAACCCAGATTTTCCATATTCGTGCAATACGGCAGTAATGTGGATAAGTTGACGTGGCTGCATATACCACACAGTCAAAGGAAATCTTAAAGCCAATCAACTACATTTAGGCGCTACAGTATAAAGTGATTCTTCGTAAACGTTGGCACCTCTGCTCTTCCATAAGTTGCAAACAACTATTCAGTTACACGAAACACGATGACACAATTTGCTAGCCAAGACAGTTTAGGATAACTACAAAGGTGGTTATGATTTCAGCTCTGCTTCACTCGAACGTACCCCAGACGGAGCAGTACAACAAAGGGTCGGGTAATTACTTCGTTTTCATGGTTTTTGTTTAGCAAGTTGGTGACCAATTATTACAAACAAAAGCACAGTAACGCCTAGCAACAGCCGCAGATCTCTTTCCGAAGATGCACACACACAATGCATCTTTGCTCGGGCTCTATTCGTGGTGGCGGCAGACTTCTCGTGCCTTTCTCGTATTGCAGTCTGCATACGGCGCCGGATCGCGTAACGAAAGACCGCTCACAATAACGAACGTAAGGCTCCTCACCCGAAGAGGGGAGATGCCGCGCGTCATTGTCCTCTCTCTCGCCGCTTCCCAAGCGTCATGGTACCGCCTGCCCGGAGCTCTTTTTTCACATCCAGTCTTCGACGAACACTCCCCGTGGTAGCCTCGCGTTCGTTGTCTGGAGCACAGTACGTGAAAAAAACCACTGAAAGACTGTAATTGTTCTACCCGTGGATTTACTGCTTGCTGTCCTCTCGTCGCAGATGCGATGAGCCCCTTTAAAAGCAACCCGAAATCTACTGGCAGCCGTCTTGGTTCTCCTGCTGGCTATCTAAATTTTACGGCCAGTAGCGCACCAATATGCCGCATTTGCTACGAGGGAGAGCAGACGGAAGGTCTCATGTCGCTTTGCAAGTGCTCGGGCACCACGGGCCTGGTGCACATCTCGTGCCTGGATCATTGGCTGAACGCCCAGAACGTGGACCACTGCGACCGTTGCCATCACCGATTTCCCACCGCTGCCCAAGCCACCTGCATCCATCAGTTCTTCCACTGGGCTCTGCCGACTGACTCGCCATCAGATGTGCAAGGAGACCGGTTCTGCTTTGCACTTATGACGCCAATGGCTGCCCTCGGCGGATTCTTTTGTGTCCTCGACGCCTTCAAGCAAGTGCTGACAGGCCAAATCATGGGAGTGATCAGCGTGGTCACTCTAGCTGGCCTTTTGATTACTGCCTACTTGTTCTGGTGCGTGTTCACGGTGCACTTTGATTACCGTGCATTTGCTCTATGGCAACCACGGAATCCGATGCGCAAAATTTTGGTACAGCGTACTGCTGTGCCGGAATTTGTACAAGCCAGGAGTGCGGGTGGTCAGCAGGAGAGCTCGGGGGAGAAGGAGGACATCTCGGCTGCAAGCGTCACCGAGAGAGAGCGCACAATGCAGCTGGATGAGTTAGTCGGCTGACGTCTGCCTTTGGATCATCCTCCGAATTCTTTTTCGGAGAACCCGCCTTCCGCGCATCAGCAATTTATATTCGCGGGCTTCTCGTAGAGCTAGTAATTGTACTTGTAGTGCTATATAGCCTTGATTTTTTGATCATATTTGTGTTGGAGCTTCTTGCCGCCTGAACTGTAAGTGAACTACTTTATTGCGAAATTTATGAGCTGCACTTACCTTGTTTTCTTATGTGTTTACTGAATTCTTTTAGTCAAATAAAGCTTCCCATGCATTTTGAAACCTCACTATGACTTCATCTCTTCCAAGTCTTTTCAGCGTAAAAAAAGGATTTTGGTGACGTGTTTAGTTGATACCAGTGCTTCTTGAGGAACGTTTTCGTATCCTATTCAGATATGACGTGTTCGTCTATAAGCAGGTCAGTCACCTAGTATGCGACCAATGTTGGCGGTAATGCTTTAATAGTAACGGCGTTACCGGTAATGCATTGTTTTTTTTTCAGTAAATTGCTAACGTACTCATTACTATTTCGGAACTGTAACTGGTACTTGTATTTGTTGCTACGAGTGCTGGCGTAAACAGTAATAGCGTTACTGGTAAGGCGTTGTTATATTTCAGTCTCCTAGCGACACACTAATTACTATTCAAGAACTGTAAAGGGCAATGTACGTGCATCACCATTTTCCGGTAACGCGAGCCGTAGTTATCTTTATCCGATGATCCCACAATTTCAGATGCGAAGGAGCATATGGTGGTGTTCGGTACGGTAGTGCGCGGGGTGACCACCCTTACGGCACGTGTGACAACTCTCCCCCCTGTCCTCACGCTCACGCGAATAGAGGTGAGAGTTCGCGCATGCGCAGTACAGCGCGAGATTGCCGAGGGCGCTCTCCTCGTGTGAGTACAAAAAGGTAGGACGATGCGCCAGAGCACTGGCTTCACTTCGTTTCCCCTCTCTTGTTTATCTCTCTGCTACAGCTCGTGTACAATGCTGCGCGCGCCCTCTTCGTTGCACAGTAATACACACAAATGGGAGGGGAGTAACATATACACAACTCCACACACAAATGAAACATACACAGAAACATAAAACTGAACCCAAAGGTGAACACCAACGCTTCTTCGCATCCCAACGTAGTAGCCTCCAGTGGAAGATGGTGTCTTTTTTACACTTTGCCTCGAAAGAGCTACGCCCCACCACGGTAGTGTAGTAACTAAGGTAGTCGGATGCTGACCACAGGTCACGGGATCAAATCCCGGCTTCGGATGGTGTATTTTCGATGGAGGCGAAATTGCTGTAGGCCCACTTGTTCAGATTTAGGTGCACGGTAAAGAACCCCAGTGGCCGATATTACTGGAGCCCTCCACAATGCCGTCTCTCATAATCATATTGTGGTTTTCGGGCGTTAAAAAACTTATCAATCAATCAATAAATTAATTAATGAAATTGTAACAGCTACTTTCACTAACCTCTTCCTGGCGCATTTGTCCGTGTCTGTGTTTCTTCGTACCAGTAAGAGTATCTGCACCATAATTTTTTTTCTCTCTGGCACCATTTCTCGTATGGAAATTGTTATGTACATGTGATGTATCGTATATTTCTGACCAATTTCTCACGTAACCTTTATTGTTCCCATTATTTGTGTGACTTGTAGTACACTACTTTGTTTGGGAAACTCTTCCTCTTGCTATGGAAGGATTCCTTCCTGTTATTTGTACGGTGTGTCCTTGACGTTAACGGCAGGATGTTACCTGGCAATGAATCATGTGTTACCTGCAAGAGCATCTTTGTTCATAGGTTGGTTTCACAATCTTCGTAACGCCCGGCACGTTCGTTTGAGCGAGCGGGACTGAGACAAGAAGACATCAAGGTGTAGCTTAAAAACGAGGACTTTATAACGATACAAGTAACAAACGCCTATATAAATAGGTAGACACAGAAGAGAAATAACTAGAACCACTTAAACAAAATATTGCGTCCTATGACTGTGACGCTCTACTTGCGCTCATTGAATTAGGTCAACACGCGTATATACGCAACTACGATAAACGATCCGCGTACTAGCAACTTGAGTAAAAAAAATAAAGATGTCTGCCCTTAACGGGAACAACACGGCACGTTATTTTGGGGCTGGGCTGAAATTTCTTCATTGTGGCGTCAGATTGCGTTGTTTTATCGAAGGCGAAAAGGTGCTGGCAGCGGACCCTCCCCTTCTCACCAGCATAAAGGATTTTGATGGCGAAACAGCGGAATTAGTTGCGCTGTGCATGCTAACATGGAGCCTCTTCGGCACGCCGCATCAAATTTTTCTTATATTGAAGAACCTGTTTAGCAAGTAAGAGGTTTTACAAAGCAAGTGTGTACCGGGCCTCTCTGAAAAGGGCCTCTGTTTTGCGCTGCGTTGGTACACTGCTGCAGGCCAAGCCTAGTCAGTTTCCGGGGTACACTGTAAGGCCGCGTTCACACTGAGCATTCCGGCCGCCGAAAGTGCTCCGAATCCGGTTCGGCGGCGACGATATTCTCCGAAAGGTTCCTCTGCGCGCCGATCACTCTCGGACCGATTTTTGCGGCGTCTGCCGCTGAATCGGTCACCGCGGACCAATAGGAGTGCTAGTCAAGAAATTTTGAAAAATGGTGGCCAAGCCATACTCACTTGTTATGCCGCAGTGCAGGTAACTGAATGTTGAAACCAATAGGAGTTTAGCCTACTCTGTGCCTACTTCACGTCCGCCTTTCGTGGAAGAGGTGACCGAGCTTGCTGTTGGCGTGACCTAGCTTGTTGCAGTCTTGCAGAGCGAAACGAACCCACCAACGCCGCTGGCGTCGGGGCTTTTTTCTGCTCTTCGTGCATTACAAGACAGCCACTTACCAGCATAGTAGGCCGTACGGTCTTTTCTTGCTTCCTGCGTACGAGAATCGTCGAAGTATATGCCACCGGATAGCGTAGTAGCATTTGCGAGCCGCGACAACAGCCGGGTGACAGCGCATCCATCCCGCGTTCGCCCCGTAGTAGATGGCATATTCGGCGGCGCGGGGCACGTCCAGCGCGAACGACGCTGCGTTTCGGCGGCAGGGGAATTTCGGTCGCTGTAGGAAGCAGATGTTTCAGTGTGAACTAGGCATAAGCGAGAATACATCCAGCTGGGAGGAATTGGGAATGATTCGCCCACTCTGCTCCGGTGGTCTCAGTCAAACCAGATTGTACCGGAGCAAATACATTCTTTTTCCACCGTTTTTCCTCCGGTGGGCGCTTGACGAAGGAAACAGAAGAAAAACGGGGCAAATCCTCTGATTATGGTCCCGTTGTTGCCGCGGGAATCCTCCGGCACATCGCTTTTGCCCCGGTGGATGCTCCGCAATCGCTTCGGCTCATCGCTTAGCAGCATTTATTGGCTGTTCGAGAAGGAATGTGGGCAGCATAGCCACCGGGAAGCCACTCTTCACAAACCAACATGGCGCAGACCAAGCCGGTGCAGTGAGGATTGTGCAAAGCGTTCGGCCACGTTTAAGAAAAAGAAATCTTCTGTGCACTTTTTAAGTACCACAAGCGACTACAAGCAGCAACGAAAATTGTGATTGACACAAGGGAAAGGTCGGAACCTTGATCGTGTGATGGTTCTGGGCAGTGAATAACACATTATGATCTCGCGACTGGTGAATGACTCCGAGGTGGCTGGTGCGGTGCAAAACAGGTGAGTGAACTCTTCTTGAATAGTATCTGTGTTATTCTTGTCAAGTAGTGCTAAGATAGGTAATGTTGGGTTTATGAGCAAACAGGTTATTAATAATAGGTGAATTTTACAGAACATCAGTAAGCGTCACATGTCAGTAAACAAACATGACCACAAGTTCTGCCAGCCGAGACTTGCCGGCGGCAAGTTATCTTTTCGTTTACTTTTTTTGACAGTTGCATTACAATTGCTTTTTATAACACCCCGTGTAGTTAGTTTGACATTATTGCCTGTTAGTTCTCAATATATTGTGTTCAGCAAGGACAACAAGGCCTCAAACGTAGACTTTTTCTCTTTACTTATTAATCATAAGCAGTATATCCATTCACTTAATCAGTGTGGCTTGTTTCCTTTTTGATCAGTTTTTCATGTGTGTTCGCGTATGTGTGTTTAGGTGGGAGGGCACACCATTGCCACCTCATGTGACTTGCAAATTTTTTTAGAACTAACAGATAATGCTGCCAAGGATGTATAGGAGATAATATTAGACGTAATTATAAGGTAATTGTCAAGAAAAAAGTGTAAGAAAAGATGACTTGTCATGGGCAACTACGAACAAAGCATTCGGTGCTCTACCAACTGAGCTACCACGGCAGCTATCCCCCCTTCTACTTTGTACAATATACAGGGTGTTTGAGCTAAAAAGCACCAAGCATAAAAAAATTAAAAATGAGTGCTACGCGTCCCCAGTTAGCGCAATATTGTTCTTAGCTCTATGTACCACGTCGGAATTTTTTTTTGATCCGCCAAGCATGGCAGTTGACAAAGATTGCTTATGAACTCTTTAAGTACTGACTCTAGTGAAACAATTTCAATACAAGACTTGTAGGTCTTATCCAGAAATAACAAGAATTTCAAGTTTCGGTAAGATAACAATGCTGGTTATTTTTTCCAGGGTTTGTTTAAAGTTCGCTGAATTCTAAAAATACCACGTGAATGCCACCTAACGCGTGGCGCTTAGAGTATTATGAAATGTAAGTTGAACGCATTAGCGAAGGCTTCTCACGCACGAAGGTCGCTTGGAGGCTGTCGGTGACTACGATGAACATTAAGCGATAGTTGAATGGTACCAATAAAAACGGGGAGGGGGGGGGGCAAAAGAAAGAAACGAAGACAAACTTCAACAAAAAAGCGGCTGTCACGTGCATTGCGATACGAGACCGGAGGCGGCATTCGGCACAGCACAGACCTTTTTTTTTTCTTTTTGGGTCAACGAAAAATATGATGTTAGGGGAGAGGGCCCAAAAAGAAAAAAAAAAATGTCTGCGATGCGCCGA